TTCCAACCCCACTTGTTTTTTCCCACGGCTTTCTTTGTACACTCTTTGGTTAAGCCATCTTATGGACTGAGATTGTGTGAGCACACTTGAATGAAGTTTTGAACTGTCCACAATCATCCGGTGCCTTGCCGACTGGCGTGGGCGATCACGGACCTTCACTTCACTCTGTCTTGCTTGCAGCAATGTTGTATGTTGTTCTTGCTGCTCCCAGCCATACCAAGTGTTTCAAATAATCACGTCATTCAGAATGGCCCTTTCTATCAGTTAATTTTTTTAGCTCCTCTTTCATTTCGGTTCCCAGTCCATATGGACCTACTATGTCTTCATGTCTAGTTGTTCCCACAACTCTACTGTTAGCGATCTCTTAAAATTACGTGCGTACTATGTTCATTAATTGTTCTGTATGTCATGAAGATCAGAACAAGCAATGAATAAGCAGGTGCCTTGTACATGTAATATTTGTATATCAATATCAGTTAGTTGAGGCGGTTTTAAATTGGAATCTAATAATGTTTTTCTTTCTTCACTACAGCAACGTACCGTGTATAAATACTTTTATTAAAAATAATTTGCTTTTGTTCTTTATTGCGCGTGATGCTAAGCTCCATGGCAAGAGCCTAGACTGGGTTCACATCAAACAGCAGAATTTTCGCATCCTCTTGTGGATGGAAAACAGAAAAGATGTTTCAATCTTGAATGATTCATCATAGGGGATTCACCCTTTAACCAAACAAAATGTCATCGGCTAATTTGCTTAACATAAAATAATGAAAAAACACTAAGGACACAAATCATGCAGGTGTACATCATGTATACACACGCATATATATATATATATATGTGTGAGTCCATTTTCCTGGTTTCAAACGTATTTCCAACAACTAACAATATTATAATACTTTTGAATCTCTACTTTCATGTTGATTTTTTTGTTTTTGTTCATATGCGTGTTTCACTGTCTGTTCAGTCGCAAAGAGGTTATAATAGAGGTCGCAACTGTGACGTCACCCACGTAAATTTATGGCTGTGTGAGGCCACTCAGCTCTGTCGCCATTTTTTTTAGAGGAGACAGCGCTGTCACGCTGCGCTTCCCTCACAACCCCTAGGTGTTCATAGAGTTTGAAGCTTAGTTCAGTTTTATATTTAAGTTTTTGTTTGTTTGCTGTTGGTGTTGAATTATATTTAACCTACACGCATATAGAATAGCCTACAGTCCCTGCTGACAGATAATGGGAAACATAAATAAATGCACTTAAATATCGGCTACAAATGAACAGAGAGATATACTACAGGGTATTTTTTGTTTTTCCCCGGGTGGGGTGGGGGATGTGCGGAGGGAGACATAGTGAGTAAATGAGTTCGTTACTTAAGACAAAATACAATTTCATATCAACAAAATGGATCTCTTTTATGACATGTTGTCTACACTCTCTTGCTACTACTGATGCAAAGCCTAGGTCTTCATAGAGTTTGCAAAGCCTATATTTATAGAGTATGGCGGGGGTTAAGACTGGGTTAATTATCTAATAATTTAAATCGTTATTGTCTCAAAATGAGCAATTAATTGTAGGCTGGGATACTGTAAGTCACTCATTGTATGAATCCTGTGCGCACATCCAAAGAGCGTTGTTTAATATCGGGCACAAAATTATGATTATATACTGACAACATTTTAAAATGCAACACTTAGATGAATAGCCGGTTTATCTTAAACGTCCACCATATTTTCTAAAATTGGCGTTGATGGGCAATGGTGTTTGGCTACTCAACACCCCATCTTCCATGAACGCCTGCTGCTGTTGTTGCACATGCTGTTTGGTATCGGTTCGTAGCTTCCACGATCGGTTCCACAAATAAGACAGAATATTACGCCGGTCTTTTTTATTTGATATTTGGTGAATCTAGAACTGGGGTTTTAGGAAGACGGGATGCTCCATGCTTCCTCGCCCCTCTTCATGGGGTCCATTTCAGTATGGGCAGACTGATTTCTCAATTATCAGCTGGTTGTTGTAGTGTAGCGTCTGACGGGGTCACGCAGCCTGCTCTTACCTTCACCATTAAGCTTCACCCCTTTCGCAATCACAACCTCCTTCATGAAGGAGTCATCGTCACAGCTGCTAGCTAGGTTTTCTCGGACAAGGGCTATACTACAATTGAAGAATCACGGGTAAGCACTCCCTCTATGTTTGTGGAGCCTGCTAGCTTCTCTGCTCTTTCATTTCCCTTGACTCCTGCAAGATCCACTGCAAGCGTCTGATTTTGCTGTCTTGGATTGCCGTTAACCGATCTGCATAAAGGCTGCCTGTCAAGATCTTATCCAGAGTGCTCATTGAGTCTGTAACAAAGATAGCCTGCTGATATCCATTAGTGCAAAACCATTTCAGAGCCTCAGTCGTGATGGCCTTGATCTCCATGCACATGCTTGATGTAGTAAGGCCCGTTGCAACAGATGCCTCCTGGACTGTTACTCCATGGCAAGAAGCCGTGTAAGCCCAGCCTGATTTGATCCCACGTTGAACAGAGCCATAAGTGAAGATAATGGTTTCATCCTCTCTGCAGTTCTCTTCAATTAGAACCTGGATTTCCGCATGGGTTGCTCCTTCAGGCCACTCACGACATTCACGCCCTGATGTAGCAATCACCTGAGTGATTCTGTCTTTCACCTCGTCCGCAAGATGTACCCATGTCTCCCCTCGTCTGATTGCCCCCACAATGAGACCACACTCTTCAATGGTTTGCACTGCCTGTGTCATCAACTCCGTGCCCCGTTTAAGTCTTGGGTTAGTCTGATGACCCACTTTGTCATGAAGAGGATTCTGTGGTTCTGCGCATACTTTCAGGTAGAAGGCTTTGACCTGTGCGAGCTTAAGTGTCTTTCGTTCATGCCGGGTAGGCCTAGCACATATCGGATTGCAGCAGCTGATGTATCTTTTGTGCAACCGAGTATGGCTCTCATTCCTTCATTCTGGATCGCGTCCAGCCTTCTAAGTTACGTCTTGGACAGTGTCAGCAGACGAAAATCATAATCTACCTGAGACAAGACAAGCATGTCAAAAAGCAAGACCAAATTTCTCTGATGCATCCTGTCTCTCGCCATCACCTTCACTGCATTCAGCCCTTTTCTGGCCTTTGTGACGATTTTCGATATGTGCTCCTTTCCACTCAAAGTCCTGTCAAACACTATTCCGAGGTAGCGCAGTGTTTCTTCTCTTTTGATTGTCTGGCCTTTGATATAGACATCTGGCATCTGGGCTTTCACTGCTCGATTGTTGAGGGAGCACCAAAGTACTGTCGCTTTTCCAGGATGGATTTTGCCATTAACTGCTTCACACCATGCTTCAATCCTACCAAGCTCTTTCTGTATACTGCTGGCGATCATTTTTGTGTCTTTCCCTGTGCGGTATGCAAGACCGTCATAATCCGCTTAAAGCTTTAGTGTCCTGCCAGGACCTTCCAATCCAAATGGCTAGAAGTGATTCCTACTGTATACACGTTGAACAAAACAGGTGATAGGGCAGAGCCTTGAGGAAAGCTAGGTGTGATCGTGCAAGCGTTTGATCCCCACGAGCCAAGCCTCATAGCCACCCTCTTCAAAATTGCTTCTCCAATCCAGATAATCAAAGCTGGGGTGATTCTCATGTTGACTAGCGTTCTCATCAGTGCTTCGTATTGTTCCCTGTTGTACGTGTCTTCTAAGTCCAATGCAACCACTAGCCTACTGTTTCTTCAGCCCGCTCAAAACCATCGTACACACATCAAAGGCCAGGACTGCGGCGTTCATCCATGGCGTGTCTTTGCCTTTACGTCTGTCTTATGTGGGTAGTTACGCCTGGTTGGCTACTTTATATTCTCTCATCTCAAAAACAGATCGACAGTGGTTCTTTTCCGTTCAAGCAGCCTTGAATGTGTGCTAGAGTTGCAGCTGAAGCTACGAGCAGCTCCTCAGTTACATTCCTGATTCCAGAGGGCCGATACGAGCGGTGCTAAATCTAGATATACTGTTTGAGCGACCCACAGCAACAGATTTCAATAAAATTATGTTTTCTATTTTAACAAGTGATCATCAAGTCCATCTCATTCATTTTTTCTGAATTTTACACTCCCATATTATAGCCTCACTGTGTAAAAGGCCCTATTTGCATTATTTGGAGATTATTTGGCTCATTTTAAGGTAAACAATAGAAGAATCCCTATGAGTACATTTTAGCGATAGGCAATTCACATGAAAAAGAAATCAACAACAAAAGACTTCGCAGAGTATCATTAACCCGTGACTGAAAAGTGTTGCTGTGCACCGACTGGCCTTTTACTTTTATTCCCCTCCGGAATGGCGTCGCGCCCCTCAAGTTTGAAACGACCGTGACGTCACAGCCAAGACCTCTAGTTCTGTTTATAACCTCTTTGGTTCAATCATTATTCATTTTTTAGGATCTGATTGATCTCAGTGTTTGGTCATGGCAAGCCCCCCAATCCCTCCTTCTTTACGCTACTAAATGAGTAGGCCTACATTGAATTTTGCCCAGTAAAGGGATGTTATTTTTTTAGGACTTAAAAAAATAATTCTTTAACGTTTTTAATAGGCCTTGGCTGGATTCCCTGGATCCAAGCAGATCGCTGATCGGGTCAGCGGGGCCGTTCGAATCTTCAAAGTTACCCTTTAAAAAAACTATTGTTTTGCTAAAATCAGTATGCAGTTTTACTTTTTAATAAACAAAAGCAACAAGAACCATAACTCTCACACACAATTCAGAGTCCGAGCCGAGCCATAGCACGGCTGATACCGATAGACGACAGGACTCCTCACATATCGAATGGTAAGGTGGGTTTAATGATCTGTTTGATTCGATTATAGCACAGATGTGGGCTATTTTAAATGTACACTACTAATACTACTATACTGAGTGAAGGTGCTCCCCCCATACCTGTATTCCGATCATTTTAAAATACTCCTTGGCCGAATTGGTTAGGATTAGGATTAGGAGGACAATTGGTGAGTTACAGAGTTAGAGTTAGGGTAGCGTTTAATTGGTGCTTTTTCGGTAGTTCCCACCCCCTTTATTTGAGCCTGACCTACTTCTAGATCACGTTTGATTCGCAGTGAGCTAAGATATCAAACCTAACAACAGCAAAACATTAAATTCTGGTAAAATTCAGGGGGGCATGCCCCCCTGAAACCCCCCTTCCTATTTTTGTTAGGTCAGGGGGGCAAGCCCCCCTGAAACCCCCCTACTCTTGGGGCCAAAACCTGTGAATAACAATTGCGGGGTGGGAACTACCGAAAAAGCGCCGTTTAATTCTGATTAGCGTTTTTCAGGGTACTCTTATCCTGCGTCTGTGCCCAGATGCGTATCTTATCAGCAACCGCGATTACGTCGGACGTGCCGGGCAGGCCGCCGGGGTCACTCAGTGTGTACCGTTGGTGTACAGCGCGCGCGCGTGCCGGGACACATGTGTTTTCGCCATGAATACCGCGGGAGTGTGTTAACTGATGATGAAAATAACGCTCTATCCTTCATAGCTTTCTATTTATAAAGTGTTACAAACACATGAAGGTATTTTTTTACCTTTCCTCCCATCTCACACTCAGCTACCAGTTGTCTATTTTCTACTAAATATTGATGCGCTGAACACGAATATCAACTTAGCAATGCCAATCGGGCTTTCCCGCGAGGCGAAAATTTGGTCCCCGTTTACGGGCGATTTTGCGGACCCGGCCGAAGCGTAGGTGACTAACTTTGTCAACCTCGGTCTGCTCTATTTCCGAACCAATCCGAATGAAACTCGGCTACCAATCAGAAAATAGGGCAAACTAATGATATGTGGACGTTGAAGTTCGTACACATAAATTAACCTATACTTTTGGTGTCGGGAACACTTTCGTATCGTGTACACCGAAAACTATAAGGAGTTTGAATTTCAACGCCCAGATGGTAATAGATCTATCTATCCTCTATAGTGTGCTCAAATTTGAGAGTTCTGTGTCAAGTAGTTGTTTAGACCCGATCGTAAATCTACGACTACCCCCCTATCCAAAGCGGCTTCACACGGAGACCGGCCATTTTCCCCTCACTCCCGTGGCAAATGTCTGTGACCTACAAATCCCCGCATGACTATTCCGGGCCCGTTCATTGGTCACTTGAAATAGGGCAATGGCGGGCGCGCGCATCCGGTTGTTTTTCTCTCTATTCCCCTGTAACATCGCAATGGGGGTATTCCGAGGCGAGGTTATCTCGTCTCGGGGTGTTCGCGTCTCAACGGGGAAAAAGAATTTTTAATTGTACGGCATGCTAGATTGAATTAACTTATCTTTTACGGTCGGCATGGTCTAAAGTCATCATAAAAAGCTTTGCAATTATTTAGTCACGCTGCCGACATATATTCTTAAAGATCCCATGTTGTGATACGATGCTATAAATAAAATGGACTCATCCCGACACCCCTTTTTCGCAAAATCGTAATATGTACACCACAATTTTAATTATAACAAAATAACTACGAAATTGATAGTAAATCTGACAACAGAAATGATTTCTACACTCAAAAACACATCGGGTAGCCAAGTTTCTCTCCAACATTTGGATTAGTTACCGAGATATCGTCGATTTTCTTACAGAATCTGCTACTGCGTGGTCCACTTTTTAGGAGTATTTTCCTATATGTGGGTCATCCATATTTTGCCGACCTTTACAACCCCATAACTTTTTTATTTATGAACCGTTTCTCAAAATTCAAGAAGCATGATTATTAGAATTGAAAATTCTTTCTTAGGTACCAAAAAAAAGGGGGCAAAAGTGAAAATTTAAATTTTCATTGGCATTGCTAATCAACTTCATTTCCGTCGCAAATTAATAGTTTTTAAAAAATATTTGATTGTTTTTAACCGAGATAGACATGCCTTGGACCAATCGGGGGGTTCCAGGGGGGCCTGCCCCACTGGGGTAAAAGAAAATCTGGGGGGTTACAGGGGGGCATGCCCCCCTGTTTTTACACCCATAATTTGATATTTTACAGTTAGATTTGAAATTGTCTTGAAAATAATTGATTTGCGACAGTTTTAGTGGCTTTATGTGTGATCTGCAGCAAACAGTACAGCAGTTTGACCCCTGAAACAGTGCATCTGTGTGCGGGAGTGAAAGTAAAAATTTACCCACATGAATAACCCCCTCTCACAAGCTGATAAGACATTACGAGTAGTTACGCCCATTTGAATAACCTTTCTGGACGCTCTTGTTGTTATGAATGACCTGAGGTTCGAAAGGGGATAATTTAGGTCAATTTCCGAATGTTTTACACTCAAATTGTTCTTTGTACCTGCACAAGGGTATTCAAAACTATCAAACAAGCTTATTTTCGTAAAAAATTTAAGCTTGTTTGATAGTTTTGAGTACCCTTTGAATACTTCAGGTAGTATCATTTCATACAAAATCAAGCTCATTTGAAATATTTTGTATAGAAAAATGGAAGTCTTGTTTCCTGACTATCCTTTTGAGCTCCTCATGTCTAAGTGGGTCAATTTCTTCTATAATTTCATTGGACGAACATCTAGAGCTATCAACTTCGCATGTTTTGAATGAGATGTATGCCTCGATTACGAACCAACGTAGGTGGTTCTAGAAGACGGCCACAAACGCACACAAACTCAAGCAGACTGATGCACACACACTTGACCTGCGGGAATGGGGTCCGACTCGGGACCCGAATGACACGTAAGAGGATGCGCGTGCGCTGAGCCAGGAGCTACACTGATTCGGGACCAGGACGCAGGCGAGGTGCCGAAATAGGCTTATCGGGCTACATTTAAACCCGGCTCCCGCAGGATGAGGGTTAATATCTAGATCTAGTCTTCTAGATTTAGATCTAGATCTAATCTAGACCTGGAGTCTAGACTAGATCTAGATCTAGATCTAGGGTTAGGACCGTTAGGGTTAGGGTAAGGATTAGCGCAGAGATGCCAACCAGTACGATTTTACGTATTTTAGTACGATTTTTTGCCGAAAATACGCGAATACGACTTTTCATGAAAAAATACGCATCCTGGAATGCGAAAAATACGAGATTCAGCTTGGGTGAGTAAACCTATCTCAAGTCCCATCTTTTGTCAAAATAGTATCAGTATCGCAGAACTGGAATATTTGAAAACCAAGTCCGATGTGGTTAGTAAGTTTATTTTTGCCGGTCGCGATCGTGATATTATATTCGTTCAGCTTCTCCCGGTCCGGAGAGTACGTTTCACTTTCTAGCGAATAGGCAGCTATGGCGGCAGGCGGAAGCGTATGTAACACCGAGGCTCGATCGGGAAAATCAAGATCTACTTTCGCTTTCGTTACCACCGAGTAGTTTGCCAGCAGTTGTCTAATAACGCAACTTTTGTGACATGCAGGTTGTGCAGTATAAACGCAAGGTCGCCATGCAAATAAAATTTAATCAATGCTCGGACTCGCCTCTGTGCTGTCACTTGTGGAAAAAAAAGAAAATAAAATACAAGCGTCGTCCGGTTTTTAGATTGTCTGGCTCGCCATCGCGACCGGTCACTGAACCTGCGCGCATTCGTGTCATAAATAAATGCGGCATCGTGTGAGCAAAGACCGTCTTTGGTGGGAGTAACGGCCTTGCGAAGTATAGGACTACGGAATAGGGGAGGAGATTATTGATTTTTTGGGGGTTTAAGATATTATGGGGGAGGGTGTGAAGGCAACACCAGAGGACAAAAACTTGGAAGCACATTTCAAAATTTTGAAAAGAGCTTTCTGCAAAGCGCGCGTTGGTGCAGGCCATGTGTGGAATCGGGACCCTTCAAACTTTGCAAGTCTGTGTTATTGAAATAATGTGTTTGCGTTTCATTGGATGGGTGATAGTAAATTATACCTAGCCTACAGTGTATGTTGTGGCTTTCTGTTCAAGACTGGTTGATTTTCAGTGTCACTACATCTTGCCCTACCACAGTTATTACAACTCTCACAGTGCATGATGGGTCTACTTGAGTCTTTCAAGTTATCGCTTTTCTCTGAGTTTGAGCAATAATTTGAGTCTGTCAGTTCATAATATGAATCATGACACCCAGACTGGTTCTTGGTTGTCGAAATTTTTGTTCTAGGCCCTTCCGAACTCTCAAAGCAGGATTTATTTTTTACATAATTATGAGAGGAAAATATTACCGGTATAATAGACTGAAATATTTAAGTCAAACAAGACCCCAGTACGACACTGAACACTGACATGTTGTTGATTGGATACATGTATATTGTACGTGTGGGTGCTCCCTTTTTCGAGCTGGTGAGCTAGTAATTTTTTTTCAGGAAATATTGCTTGACCCCCTTAACATTTTACTATTACTAGTTGGTCGGTCGGTCGTGGGGAATACACATTTTCCCCTGAAAATACACATTTTCAAATTTCCCAATACTCATTTCGGTTTTCTGTGGTTGGCATCTCTGTTAGCGATTAGGGTAAGGGTTAGGGTTGGGGTTAGGGCTAGGGTTATGGATCAAAGCGAAACATGAGCTGTGAAAATTAAACGTGGGAATCTGAACAATCGCCGATTACTCTTCTATTTACTTCTAGATCGAGAATCTAGATCTAGATTCTATGATTACTATGATGATGAGTAGGCTATCATCGGCTATAATGAGTTGTGACGTGACTCTAGATCTAGATCTTGCTCTAGGATGGTGGTGGTAGCACAAAAGTCAACACTACACCATCACCAAGATCTTCCAGATGTTCACTGATTTATTTTTGTTCACATTTTTGACTGGATTCGGGCAGGGTGCGGATTACGCATCATGCGCCTAAAATGTAGAACGAGGCAAACCAT